CTAATGTCAAAATCACCACCCATGTGAATGTTGTCATAGAAAGGGATTTCAGGTCTAGGTGGAATGGGGGCATTCTGAATATCAACGGGAGCATCGGCATCATCTTCTTCATCATCATCATCATCTGATCCACCCAATAAATTTTCTTCATCACACATTTCATTGTCATCATCGTTTAGGGCGACATCAGGACCGTACATGTCACTGTCAGCAAACTGCACATTGTTTACTGTTTCTGCCATATTACCAGCAACTTCAACCGGAGTGGTATGATGGCTGCATGTGGGCACATCTTGTGTGTTATTGTCAAATTCATAATCATATCCACCACGTGAACTTGATTCTACACCATGGCCCTCAAATGACTGTTGTGTGTAGCCCAGCGGATAACATTGATCTGATTCATACATAGGAGACTGAAACGCTGTTGTGTCAATCCCATGCATCAGCAATGTAGTGAACGGACGAGAATCCATCTGTGTCATGTTCGGTAGATTGTGTACAACCTCTTTATCAATGTAGCCTTCCAAACAATTTGGTGCTTGAAAACTTGCACCGATACTTAATATGGTGTTCAACGCCTCATCGTTATTGATCGGTAATATCTTGTATTTGCTATGTGCTTGCCACTGGCGATAAGGATATCTACATTTGAAGGTCAATCGGACACTTTCCCCGTAACTTGCCACCTTTGACATAAACATCTCCTCCAAATTGCTAAGCATGGTGCCAATTTGCACCGCATATATCCCTTTCGGCTCAGCATAATATGAGAGAGACGCCTTCATCGGGATCCCGAATTATGTTTCCCCCCCAGTAAAAAATAATTGGAACAGTCTCCATTTACTTGCTTCAATTAAGACAAAAAACATTAAAATAGCAACAATATACTTATATCTTCTTGTACTTGTAAAAGAATTATATGAATTTTAACTCATTCAATTACAATTACTTGTGACGCAAAAACTTTATTTAAGTAATCAGTAATTGTAATCCAACAAACATTATTGATTTTTTAATTAAAATATGAGTTAAAATAATGATAATGCTTTAGATTTTTTAGCTTTTTAAGAAACAAATCTTACAACACATACAAAATTAACATCATGCTCTTGTGTTATGCTCTTTACATTATTTATTAGGATTAAGATCATGCTCTTGTGCACATTAAATGCAATTCAGCTAAGTTTTAGGTCTGAAAATCTTTTATTAATTTTGGATTAATTTTGTATAAATTATATAAAAATGATTATAAATTATAAAGCAACAACATTTGTAATCATTAAATAAATGTAATTGATGTAAGTTAATTTAAGTAATTGATAAATTATAAATCTAAGTAATTTACATAAACTTATGAGTGCAAGTTGTTAATCTTGTTAATTTGAGTGTAGGTAAACTTATGAGTGTAGGAAAATCCAACAATCTTATGAGGTAGGTAAACTTATGAGTGTAGGTAAACCTAACTTTACATCAAAGTGACAACCTACATCAAAGTAACAATATTTCTAATTTACCTAAATTTCTAATCATTACATAAATTATGAGTGTAGGTTGTGACTTTATATAAATTATAAAGTGTTGGTAAACTTGATTTATACATAAAGAAATTTGATTTATACATATTCGTGACCACGCTTGTAAGTAAAATATGTAAAAACGTGTTTTCAAAACACATTTTGAACAAAAAATCAAAAGAAACACTCACTCTTCTTTGTCACACACACACACACACTCATTCTCTCTCTGTCTCTCTCTGACAGACACACCCACAACACACACTCACATCAAACATATAATTTTTAATATATATAAATTTTATTTTATA